GCGTCTCTCAGTTCGTCTGCGTCTTGCCCGCTGCCGAAGCTGCTCCGTCGGCCTCTGGATGGGTTCCAGCTGCCCGTCATCACCAATGGAGTCAGACACTCGCGATGCCAGTTCAGCCGCCCGCTCTCGCTCCCCAGCGCGCAGGGCAACCAATTGACGCCTCTCAACTTGCAAACGTGCCTCTGCCGTAATCTGCCGTTCTGCTGGATGTTTGTTCGTTGGAGTGAATCTGCCCGACATCTTGAATCAGCTCCATGGCCAAACTCCAATGCTGATCGATTTGTCGTTCTCCGCGCAAGGATGTGAACTAATTCTAGACGCTTCGCGTATCCCCACCAGCCCGTCCAGAAATGAGTCCCAGGGGAGTGGAGGTTATGAGGGAAGCGGGGGGGCATGCAGAAGAACAAAGGGCGGGGTGAGCCGCCATATGCCCCAAGAGGGGAAGGATGTAGGAGGAGCCGTCGTCGTCGGAGTAGGAGGAGGAAGAGGAGGAGCAGGAGGAGGAGCAGGAGGAGGAGGAGGAGGAATAGAAGGAGGAGGAGATGGAGGACTGCGAGGACGAGGAGGACGAGAAGGAGGTAAGGAGGAGGAGGAGGAGAAGGAGGAGGAGGGGGAGGGGGAGGAGGGAGGAGGAAGAAAAAGAGGAGGAGGAGGAGGACAATGGCGTGCTTGGGGGCCTCTTGGGCCGTCTTTGGGGCCTCTTGGCGGTCCCGGGGGCCTCTTGCGTATCTCGGGGGGCCTCTTGTAGCCTCTTGGGGGTCTCTTGGGGGCCTCTTGGAGGCCTCATGGGGGCCTTTTGGGGCCTCTTGGGGCTCTCTTGGGGCGCTCTTGGGGCGCTCTTGGGAGCCTTCGAGGCGCTCTTGGGGCCATCTTGGAGGAGATCTATCAAAGAAGGGGGGTTCCCCAATTAGCGCTGCCCCTCTAGAGTGCCTCGAGTCGCCTCTTGGGCGCCCCAAGAGGCCAAAATCCTTCCAAAACCTAGGTAAAATCAATGTTTGTTGCTTTCTCGCCGTTTCGCTCTTGGAGCCGTCTTGGGTCATCTTGGACTCTCTTGGGGCCTCTTGGGGGTCTCTTGGCAACGTCTTGGAAGCTTCTTGGGGGCCTCTTGGGGTCTCTTGGGGCCCTCTTGAGGCGCTCTTGGGGCGTTCTTGGGGCGCTCTTGGGAGCCTTCGGGGCGCTCTTTGGGCCATCTTGGAGGAGATCTATCAAAGAAGGGGGGGTTGCTTATTAGCCCCGCCCCCCCAGAGTGCCTCGAGTCGCCTCTTGGGCCCCTCCCAAGATGCCTAAATCCTTCCCAAACCTAGGTAAAATCAATGTTTTGTGTTTTCTCGCCTGTTCGCTCTTGGAGCTGTCTTGGGCCATCTTGGACGCTCTGACACCTCGCGACCGGCCCCGTCCAGGTCAGTGGGGAGGGGTAAGGGGAGGGGTAAACCCCTCCCCGAAGGGGAAGAAGGGGGTTGGCAGAGGAAGCTCCCTAGACCACCTACGCCCTAAAGGGCTGGTGGGATTATCATGGTATGTCAAGGTTTCGTCCAGCTGCGCCCAAAAAAACGTCGCGACCCTTGCCCGTCTGCCACGCCTCCGACAGCCTCTGAGGATCCCGCGTGAGTGGTTTCTTCTCGACAGCGCCTGCAATCCCGTCTTGCATCTCCAGCATGTAGTCCAGCAACAGCAGGAGAGGTAGATGACCCCTCGGCTTCCCATCAGGGATGAGTTGTAGCCATCGCCCGTGGTAGTAATCCCACCAGCCCTTTAGGGCGTAGGTGGTCTAGGGAGTTTCCTCTGCCAACCCCCTTCTTCCCCTTCGGGGAGGGGTTTACCCCTCCCCTTACCCCTCCCCACTGACCTGGACGGGGCCGGTCGCGAGGTGTCAGAGCGTCCAAGATGGCCCAAGACAGCTCCAAGAGCGAACAGGCGAGAAAACACAAAACATTGATTTTACCTAGGTTTTGGAAGGATTTTGGCATCTTGGGGGGGTCCAAGAGGCGACTCGAGGCACTCTGGAGGGGCGGGGCTAATAAGGAAACCCCCCTTCTTTGATAGATCTCCTCCAAGATGGCCCAAAGAGCGCCCCGAAGGCTCCCAAGAGCGCCCCAAGAGCGCCTCAAGAGGGCCCCAAGAGACCCCAAGAGGCCCCCAAGAAGCCTCCAAGACGTTGCCAAGAGACCCCCAAGAGGCCCCAAGAGAGTCCAAGATGACCCAAGACGGCTCCAAGAGCGAAAAGGCGAGAAAACACAAAACATTGATTTTACCTAGGTTTTGGAAGGATTTTGGCCTCTTGGGGGGGTCCAAGAGGCGACTCGAGGCACTCTGGAGGGCCGGGGCTAATAAGCACCCCCCCCTTCTTTGATAGATCTTCTCCAAGATGGCCCAAAGAGCGCCTCGAAGGCTCCCAAGAGCGCCCCAAGAGCGCCTCAAGAGGGCCCCAAGAGACCCCAAGAGGCGTCCAAGAAGCCTCCAAGACGTTGCCAAGAGACCCCCAAGAGGCCCCAAGAGAGTCCAAGATGACCCAAGACGGCTCCAAGAGCGAAAAGGCGAGAAAGCAACAAACATTGATTTTACCTAGGTTTTGGAAGGATTTTGGCCTCTTGGGGCGCCCAAGAGGCGACTCGAGGCACTCTAGAGGGGCAGCGCTAATTGGGGACCCCCCCTTCTTTGATAGATCTCCTCCAAGATGGCCCCAAGAGCGCTTCGAAGGCTCCCAAGAGCGCCCCAAGAGCGCCCCAAGAGAGCCCCACGAGAGGCCCCAAGGCCTCCAAGAGGCCCCCAAGAGACCCCCAAGAGGCCACAAGAGGCCCCCCGAGATACGCAAGAGGCCCCCCCAACCGCCAAGAGGCCCCAAAGCACGAGGCCCAAGAGGCCCCCAAACTCGCCATTGTCCTCCTCCTCCTCCTCTTTTTCTTCCTGCTCCCTCCTCCCCCTCCCCCTCCTCCTCCTTCTCCTCCTCCTCCTCCTCCTTTTCCTTTTCCTCCTTCTCGTCCTCCTCGTCCTCGCAGTCCTCCATCTCCTCCTCCTTATCTTCCTCCTCCTCCTCCTCCTCCTGCTCCTCCTCTTCCTCCTCCTACTCCGACGACGACGGCTCCTCCTACATCCTCCCCCTCTTGGGGTATATGGCGGCTCACCCCGCCCTTTGTTCTTCTGCATGCTCCCCGCTTCCCTCATAACGGGACTCATTTCTGGACGGGCTGGTGGGGATACGCGAAGCGTCTAGAATTCACCTTGCACCCGAGGACGTCCCCCAACGCGGCCTCTGGGATGAACCAGCGATCGATCGTAGATCCCGTCCCGTTGGCACCATAGACGGTAGGGCCACCTCGCGATACCAAGTACTAGGTGAGCATAAAGATCTTGTGTAACACAACTGCTCCGCCAAATCGCCTGATATAGTATGTCGTGCTCTGTGGTGCTCGTCAGCATGCTCCTCAGACACAGGAACTCAGTCGCTGCGCTCGCCGAAACAACTGTTCACATCAACGCCCACTGCCAGCAACGATCGAAGTCGCGTGCCCTCAACGATGGCGTCGGTCCACTGATGCGCCGCTCTCACCGCCGCTTCGTAGACAACGATATTCTTGCCCGTGGCCCCCGTCGGAGGTGGATATCCAACAGTCAGCGTCACGTCGAACTTGCCACTCTTCACTCGCACCGCTCCAGCTCTGCCCTGGATGGCCTCCAGGGGCGTCAAGATGTCCACCACGTCTTTGGATCGAAATTGTCGTCCGAATATGACCGTGCAGCCCTCATAACGATTGATCCAGGCCGACGCGGCCCAACCGAAATGAAAAGCAGAGTACCCACCGCCCAACCTCTCCACTTGGTACCGTCGTCCTGCCTAGCTCCTGATACGAACGCCTGGGGGCAGCACTGCGTCAGCGCCGAACTCGTGCGCCACCTCCCGGCAGCGGCCCGCGGAAATCAACGACAGCGGGTTGAACAAGAACAATCAGAGGGGCCCCAGAGCCCGCATGCTCCAGCCATGCGCCGCGTGTCCTCGAGACGGCTGCACCCTGCTGGGCGCCTCGAGGGGAGGTGCGCGCCCGTGAAGGAAGGTCGGACGAGCGCTCCCTCTGTCGCTGCTGGGATGCGGTCTGGGCCCAGGTGCGCTTGATGCTGCTGGTGACGATGATCACGATGCTGTTGATGCTGATGAGGATGATGCTGATAATGAGGATGGTTCTGCTGCTGCTGCTGCTGCTGCTGGTGGTAGCATGATGATGACGATGCCGGCGATGATGATGATGAGAAGGATGTTGCCAGTGATCACGAGCATGATGCCTGTGATGATAACGATGCTGCTGTTGCTGATGATAATGCCAATGATGATGGCGCTGGTGATGATGATGCTTGTGGTGATGATGATGATGCTGCTGATGATGATGATGATGATGATGCCGTGGCGATGATGCTTATGCTTCTGCTGGTGATGCTGATGCTGAAGATGATGCTGCTGATGATGATGATTATGCTGCTGTTGCTGTTGGCGATGATGATGATGATGCTGCTGCTGCTGCTGATGATGATGATGATGATGATGATGATGAGGCGGGTGCGGCGATGATGTTGATGACGGTGCTGGGGTTGATACGAAACTGTGACATGAACACAAACTTTCAGAGGTCCACGCGGATTGTTTGGATCGGCGCTGGAACCCACGCGTGGCACGCGGAACGCGCCAAGAGCGGCGCCAGAAGCGCCGCCAGGGGGGCCCAGCACCGATCCAAGAAATCCGCGCGGGGCTCCGAAAGTCAATGTTTCTGCTGCTGAAATCTTCATCGAGGGAAGTGGGGAGGGATGATCGGCGGTGGACAAACCTCCCTTTAGTAAACCTCCCCTTAATGAAAACGGCCTGGGACCGAAACCGACGGGCCTGGACCCGCAAAAATGACGGCCGCGACGCCCTCTCGCGAACCGAAAACGGCCAATTCACTAATCGACGTGTCAGGGTAGGAGGTCTGTCCAACCCCGAGATGAGCACGAGGAGCAGGGCGCCCCCCCCCCTCCTCGCGGACACCGAGAAGGCCAGCGAAACATGATCGGAGCCCGCCATGCTCATCACGGGCCGCGGCGCCGGCCTCTGGGAGGACATGGGGAAAGGCGGAGGAGGAGGAAGAGGAGGAGGAGGAGGAGGAGGAGGCGGAGGAGGAGGACGAGGCGGACGAGGAGGAGGAGCAGGAGGAGCAGGAGGAGAAGGGGAGGAGGAGAAGGGGAGGAGGAGGAGGAGGGGAGGAGGAGGAGTAGGAGGAAAAGGAGGAGGAGGAGGAGCAGGAGGAGGAGAGGGGGTGGAGGAGGAGGACGAGGAGTAGGAGGAGGAAGAGGAGAAGAATGAGGAGGAGGAGGGGGAGCAAGAGGACGAGGAGGAGGAAGAGGAGGAGGAGGAGTCGACGGCTGCATGCAGATAAAGGGTCGCTGGCATCCACAACCTGATGTCGCATATCCCTGCGGACCGACGCCAAGAAGGACACCACATGTTGGGAAAGCTGAGGGCATCATACTACGACACCCACGAAGACAACTACGAGCTAAACTGGCTCGCAACGCGCATCCCCACGAGCACCATAATTCCTTTCCACACCAACGCTAAGATCGTGAGACATGAAACGGCCAAGACGTGAACAACCTACGCCGGTCAACCCAAAGACAAACAACAAGGCAATTGCCGCCAATCCGGCGCACCAGGCACCCCACAAGGCCTAGCCCCCATCACCGAACAACCCGCCACCTCATTTTTCCCGCCAGACTACCCGAGCTGGAACCCGCAGAAGCTCGACGAGGCAATCCGACGCACAGGAGTTCCATAGCAGCCAACCATCAACCGCCACTACCCAGACCATGGATCGCCTACATAGTACGAGGGCAAAGACTGCGTCTGGACTCACCAAGTGTACCACTACAACCTGGACACCAGGGAAGCGACGTGGACAGACCCAGGCAACGCACTCCCTACAAGCAGGCTGGAAAATGGCTCTATCATCCGACAACGTGGGATGCTTCTAGTACGACACGAACTACAACATCATCCAGTACTCGCCGATGGCCATCCCAACCAGGACGCAGCCGCCGCCGCCACCGACACCTCCCACGCCTCCGAAGCAGCGGTCGCCATCACCTCAGGCTCGGTCCTTTCATTATCTGTAAAACCACCGCCGACCACACCACGAAAGAACGAGACCAACCAGGCGGCAGTCGCGACCCAAACCACGACGAATTGGGCCGCAATTGCCCCGAAAGCTAACGACAACGAAACCATGCGCACCCGAGACACGACGATCGAGTTCGCAAAACGACCCCCATCTCCACCACGGCGAGGCATGACAACGAGGCTGAACACCAAAGACCGCATGCACGACATTATCGAGCGCCTGACCGTCATGACCAGCAACGACCCATACGAGCGCGAGCACGCGATGTCCAAGATACACACCCACGAGGTGATCCCCGACCACTACGACGAAATCCTCGACCTGGTCGACACAACAGAGGCCGACAGGGATGCAACAACCAACGACCTCCGCATCGAATACGACCAGGCCAACAGCTACCGCGTGTCGTACGAGCTGCGGGACGCACACCCTTTCCAAATTAATCAGCGACACAGGGACCTGGCAAACTACGCCAACCACTACTTGGCTAAACATGCTGACCGACCCGAAGCGCCGCAGCCACGATGACATGCCTGATTAAGCAGAGGTGCTTCAGCATAAGATACAATTCCTCACGGGCATCAAGGTATCTATACAACGCAACCCCACGTGCACGCCGACACCATTCCTCGTCATTGACATACAGAAGGAATCGCAATCGAGGCACTGGTCAAGATGGCCGAGGTCATCAACAACCATACCCCCTTGCCCGAAGGCGGATCACAGAACCAGCAGTCCCGACAACCGACACCAGACCCACCGACTGTATACGCCCTGCTGCCGCCTACTGAGCCGCACATCGGGACCGCACCACCCCAACTTGGACACCTGGACCAACGGTCGTCGATTGCAGGACCGAGTGCAGTGGAGCAGACCAACAGCGCCAACTTGGTGCAGCCCAAGTAGACCACGACCTCGACGGGCGGCATAACTATTGCGAGCAGCACCGCTGACCACCAAACACCACACCAGATGCAGCAGCACGCTATCGGCGACACCAGCACGGCTGCTTCGTCTCGCAAATGGATCACGGACCACAGCACCGAGGGCGACGTCTCTCACACCAGCGAGCGCAAGCAAGCAACGACACCGCCCTCAGGCGGACCTCCCAGCATCATCCGCCACGGCAACCAGCAGGAGACGGACAAGAAAGCTTTCCCACTCTACGGCCCCGACCCGTGGGTGGAAACCATGGCCGACCTACGCAGACGCCGTCAAAGCTGACCAGCCTGACCAGCACGACCCACCTACGGCGAATCAGGAGACTCCCCCCTGATCGCCCACAACACGAGGCAATCCTCGAGCTTGGACCAGCCTAGCGGCGGCCAATCAATGCGCCACTATCTCATACCCTACAGTTGCTTCGTTGCAGACATGACAGTCAACTGCTCCACACCCACTCCCATCTGTACACTATCGTTTAACCGACACGTGCGCACTCGCCCTAAAGACGGAATCAGCAAAGCTGGTGGTATGGGAGTCTATCTTCTCCTGGCATATCTACAGCGTGAACATCAGTGGCGACTACGATCAGCGTGGACCCCCACGGGGCTTTCTCACCCACTCGAGCTCAGACCATGACTACAAGAAGCGCGTGGGTCCCCGAGGGGCTTTCTCACCCCCGGCGTATGAGGGCTCCACCGGCCTCCACTCCCTACTGGCTCACCTTCTTGCAGCCCCGACTCCCCCCAACCGCTGCCATTTAACCCCCACTTTTTCCCCCCTCTTGTGGTTGGGTATGGGCCGGCCAAGTATGTGGGCGGGACGTGGATAGGACTCACCGCAGGCCGTCCTGGCAAGGGCCAGGGCGGCCGCGGCCGCCACCAGGGCAGCTGCAATAAGGGCATCCGCTCAACTCCCTCTCAACTTCTGCCGCCAAGACGCTACCTCCGCCTACAGGCGTAGCGGCTCACACTGCGACACTGGCACCTTCACTCGTCCCAGCCGCATGCCAACCGTCCAGGGGATGGGGTTTACGAGTTATCAAGGGGGTTGGTGGGTCGGGAGTACAACGCACACACAGCGTGCCGCCGCCACGGATGGCAGAAACCACCCCCAAGCACGGTGGAATCCTCCCAAGCGGCCACCTCTCCCGTGATCTGGGTACCCTACTCCTGCCTCGGCAGGGGAGGGCACCATTCATGGGGATGGTGGCCGTTTCGAGGGCTTCCTATGTGCAGGGGGCGAGGCCTTTCTGTCATCCCCCTTGGCGAGTCTGGCCGCCACCACTCTCTGCGAGAGTCGGAGGTTCGGCCACCGCCTGGAGGGCACAAACCTCTCTCCCGCTCGGTGGACCCCCCCCCAGGCGTCCCCAAGGCCACTGTGCTGGGAGCCCTACGCCTGTTTTTCGGGCGAGGGAACCCGCCGTTGACCCCGGGGACGAGGGGGAGGGGGATGAGGAGGAGGAAGAGGAGGAGGAGGAGGAGGAGGAGGAGGAGGAGGAGGAGGAGGAGGAGGAGGAGGAGGAGGAGGAGGAGGACTATGAGCTGAGGGAGAGGCCCTCGTGCCCCCCCCTGCCAGCGAGTGGGGAGGCGCCGCCACCGCCGCACACTGCTGCGCCGCCACCCCACCGCCGCCAGCCTCCTACCTCTGGCCCGTAAGGCCACTCTTCAACCTTCCTCACCGGTGCGCAGTCTCCCTCGCCGCGCTTCTAACGCACGCCTCGCCCCCTTGGCCCTCCTCCTCCTTCGCTTGCACCCCTACCGCCTCACTGACTGCAGATGGCACGCTTGACCACCTTTGTCTATTAGGGCACCTCTACGGAAGGGGGACCATGGGCACCCTGCAGAGCGCTGGCCCAACAAGGCCGGGCGACTCGCAGGAGGAGGGGCCCGGCTCAGCCACAAGAAGAAACAGCCCTGAGGCCCTCATACCGCTTTTTGTTGTCGCCACGCAACCACACTGTTCACGCCGATGCCGGCAGCCTCCCCCCCATTCCTCCCCACTATCGAGGTTATACTTGCTCCTCTCCTTTCTTCTTCCCTCCTGCGTGCGGGACCTTAGGCTGGTACCAGTCCGCGGCGCACCTGCTCCTGCACATCCACTTCGGCACCGCCTGCACCCCTGGGCTTCGCCCACTCTGGCCGCCTGAGGCCCCGCCTTCCTGTGCCCTGTTTCCCTAATTAAAGCTGTGCGTAGCCCGCCTAGCTTTGAGCGGAAGAGGTTCACTCTCGCCCCGCAGATCGAAAAACTGTGTGCGGGACCTCAGTCCCTAATACTCTCGATTTTGTTATACTCCCCCAGGGGGGCACGACCCGGCCTCCCCGGGAGAAGCGGCAGCGTTCGACAACCTTCATTGCCATCAGCGTCTCAGCGCCTCAGCGTCTCAGGAGGAGGACGAGGAGGAGGAGGAGGGGGAGGAGGAGGAGGAGGAGGCGGAGGAGGAGGAGGAGGAGGGGGAGGAGGAGGCGGAGGAGGAGGAGGGGGGGGAGGGGGAGGGGGAGGGGCAGGAGAAGGAGTCTCTGGAGTCTCTGCCAGATCGCGTAGCGATGTGGATAATTATACCTCCGCCACCCCACTTGGGGTGTTGTGAGCTCTGGTGGCCTTCTCAGCTCGACTGAGGGCCTTCGGCCAGAGCCCCTTGGAAATACGCTTGAGGTATTCCTGCCCCGAGGGGGTGAGCCTACCGCAGGATTCCCCGAGTTTCCCGAGAACCAACTGAGCGTAAGCTCCACACCAGACACATAACCACAAATTCAGCCCAGCGTGGAACCGAGAACGGTGGCTACTGTGCACGACCCCCCCCGCGACATGGACCGACTTCCCCTGAGGGGCCTCCTTATAAGTGCCGTCTATGTTGAGAAGCTCAAACCATTCCGAAAGGAGCCAACGAGACCTCGAAGCTTTGCTGGAGGAGCAACAGCACCTAGTACAATGGGAGCCAGTGGGGTCGACAGAGTGCTGGGACCCAAAGAGAGCACAAGAACGAGGGG